TTGGTTGGTTGGTTGGTTGATTGATTGATTGACTCGGGAATTTCCCTTTACCTATGATTAAAAAAGAGATCTTTGAAAAAGACAGAAAATAGATAAAGCTTCTTCCCAATTTGCTCATTAACTAAAATAACAGTTGCAAAGGAGACTGTGAAACCACATGCGCACATGTAACTAGGAAATGAACAGAGAGTAATAAATTGGTATTACAAATGTTTATCTTCAGTAATGAAAGAATTTTTCATATCAGTTGGCTCACAGTAATGTGTTACCAATTTTGTTAAATTGGAATTTCAAAATATTGGTTTTTCAGGAGTGAGGGAAACCGGAGAACCCGGAGAAAAACCCTCGGGGCAAGGTGCACTGCGCCATCTCTGCTGCTGGTAATATTTCATATGCCTTAATATATCAGTATAAATTTAACTTATGAAAGTTTGCCATTCAAGGCTTGCTTTCATGCACTGTCCTTGATGCCCAGTTGTCGGTCCTCAGTCCTCAGTCCTATCCTTGCTCCTTGATTCTCTGTTCCAAGTCCTTGGTCCTCTGTCCTGGGTCCTCTTTCTTGGGTGCACTGTCCTTGATCCTGTGATCTATTTCTCTAACAACTTGCCTGCAAATCCAATATGTAACTAGTGAGTACTTTGTACATGACGTTTGCTGAACTTGCATAAAAACAATGTGCAAATAATTCTTTTCTCTTAAAATTTTGCTTCAGAGTCTTAAGAATTTCACAACCTCGTAAAGGATTACCCAAACATTTCTACCCCACCAAAACAAATTAATTCCTTGAGCAATCAATCAGTGTTTTTTCAGCAGAACATTAGCCTTGAGCCAGGCAATGATGTTCGTTGTTGGGATAACAAATTCTGAATCATTCCATGGAATACTATTGACCTAGGAATAAATAAGCTTGAAATGAGCCACTTAAAATTCTCTGAACTGGGGGACATCTAAAAAAATAAAATTTAAATAGTTTGCATATACATTACTTGCAAAAAATTTTGGACAATGTTAATTTCGGACAAAAAAATGTCTAAAAATATAACCGTCTGAAATTTGTAAGTGTCTGAAATTTTATAGGCTCGATTTCCAGCCGTTTTGTGAGCCCATGTTCCTGGCCCCACACTACGGCTGGATCACTGGTCTACTCAGTATATTTTTGGACCAATCACAGTCAAGCCTGCTCGAATCAAGCAGGCTTCCCTCTCAATTATTTACTTAGCAGATATTTCAAATTTTTAAATTNGTCTCATCTTTACTTCCGCCATGCAAAAAGTCTGATTGATCACCAGCTGGGTCGAATTTCATGATTATTACGCTTTGTTCCCTGTTCTTCAAGATATAAAAGAACCTTAGCTTCTTTTCACTGAGAGTACATCTCAGTTGTAAGTCAGGAAAAACAAGCTCGAAACTATTTCGAGAAGTTCTTCAAACTGCGTCATGTTGGTCCGTGTTCTTTTAGTTTGTCTTCTCATTGTCGCTACAGCAGGTAAGCACGTGGAAGTAAGGTAATTTTGAAGGTTTTTCTTGTTGTAGCTTTATTTACGTAATAGATATTTTAAAATTTTAAATTTTAGATTGTAATTTTAGTTAGGGGACCTAAATAGGGATAACCTCATGGTCCTCCTTTTCAAATACTCTTTGTACTCTGTATTTGAATAAAGTATTATTATTATTAGTTTTTGTTTTAGCGTCACGATTTATCGACGGAGTTATATCACCTTGCCAAAAAAGAGGAGAATTTTAACAGTCTCGGCTTTGTTGGTTCAAAGTTTGATCGCTGATCGAGTTTTAGCACGAAACAATCATACCTCTGATAGAGCCAGGAATGCCTGCTTACAGCGTAAATTTCTATAACCTACAACTTTTCCCTCTTTATTTTGTATTCCCAGACGCGGATCCGCGTTGTTGTCTACCCAAACGCGCGGGTTTGTTCGGTGGAGCTCCGACTGTTCGCTTCTACTACAATAAATCCCCTAAAGTAAAACAGTGTAAGCCGTTCATCTTCAATGGATACATTGGCAATGCAAACAACTTCGAATCGTTGGAACAATGTTGGAAGACTTGTGACGGTGCACGTTGCCCCTGAAGAGTTGCTTATGGGTGAGCTGGCATGTTTCATGTGCCATTAGCGAAATGGCTTTGACTGTTACTACTCACTGAATGAATTTAAGGATATGTTGTCAGTCAACTCTTTTAGACCGTTAATCAATATGTAGATAAATTCTCCCTTTTACCTGGCAAACATTTGTTTTAATTAACTTTGTGAGAATTCGTTTTAAATGAAGATTCTTCCTGGCTCGACCTAATTGACCCCATTCTCCTGTCCGCTCAATTTACTGTTCTGCAATAACGCCAGATTTCAAAATTCAGAAACTAGAAATTCAGTTATTGCTTTACAGAGAGGACACTCAAACCGTAAACACTTGTTATGTTTTTGTACATTTTTCTTATGACCATAGACTGCGGACTCTTTCTTTTAACAGGAGGATTTAGTGTTTTTACACTTCGAAAATGTTAATATTATACATTATATGAAGAGCATTAATTCTATCAGTCATCAAAAGAATGTGCAAAAAATGTCAAGTATACACGGTTTGAGTGTCCTTACTGTAATCTCTATTACACGTCAGCGAGGCAGTAGTTCACCAATGCTGAAATGTTAAAGGCCGTGACTGTCCGTGTAAGGTAACGCAGACGATGAAATTCGAGATCACTTGCTCGGAAAGTTTAAGAAGAGCAGGAAGGGGAGGTGGACCTTAACGCGCGTTTGTTTGTTAGCACTTCTCTAGCTGCTGATGTCACTTTATAGGTTGCAAAAATATCAATCAATGCACGATCGGTTTTAGACCAATAGCATACGACTTTCCCTTGATAGATATGAACAAAATATATTCTCTATATGTCAGGGGAATTGACCGACTCAGTTCTTGATCATTTTTCAGATGAAGACGAGGATGTCAGCGAAGAACTCCTGGAGAAGTGGAAAATGAACTTAAAAGAAAGTCTTCATAACTGAGAACAATCATATTCTCTTGCTGGAAAGGAAACGAATTCAAAAAATTAATTATATGAATATAAAATTAAATTTTCCAAAGAGATGTTATAAACGAGTGTATAATGTCTCAGTCAGTAGATTGTCGGTTGGTTGTTGCTAATAAGACGCTATCTACTGTCTGAATAAGAAAGGAAGTAATTTCTCTTACTCTAAGTATGTTTGGATATCACATGCTGTAATTAATTTCTCCTCGTTTGTTTTCTTTTTACTGTATTTACTTGTTGCCTTTGTAGACCTTAATTTGCACGGGGAACTAACAAGAAAACCAACTGTCTAATTTAGCTTTCCAGCTCGAACTATAATTTCAATATAGAAAGAGTCAGTGTGCCATTTCAAGATGAAAAATTATTCAATTAATTATATGAATGCGCCCAATAAATAATTATTATTAATTATTATTTTTATTGTTTTGTTACTGACGTAGACAAAATAATAGGTTGCCTAACACACAAGCAACATTTGAAGACAGCACTCCGTAAGATATTAGTAAAGAGAAATTATTCCAACCGATATATTGTAGTTTTAGTCATAAGTCTGACCGGAAGCGGTATGGACCACTTGGCCCGACCCAGACTTCACTGTTATTTTCACAATTTGTTCGTCGACCTCAGCGCTCCTAACTGACAATTTAGATAAAATATTAAAAAAAATTGACTAACAACTATCAATTATCATCAGTTCCCTTACAGATCATTCTGTCCAGGTCTCACAATTTGAGTTACGTTTCTCGCCAAAAATCCCTGACCCTTCCTTGACCTCGCAAGGAAGTAACACGGGATTGCGTTACACTGAGGAAACACATGTTCCACAAAGGTAACTTGTTCATGTTACACTGAAGTAGTTCAGCATCAAGGTCCCTCGTTCTCATAGCTTGCTTATTTCCCGGAGCTCATTTCTATCCAAAATAAAATTTGGCGATTGATCAATAAGCATCTTCAAAGTTTCTCTTAAACACTTGATATAAGCCGTTTTATTTCCTTACGTAAGATTCGTTACGGTTCTTTGTGACTTCCATGTGTCGTAAGGTGCGGTACTTAGAGACGGACCATTATTTTTTTGATGGGATGGGCAATTTCTCCAAAACATTCCTGCATAGAAAAAAAATGATGAAGAATCGTGCAAGGAGAATCGTACAAGGGGAATCGTGCAAGGGGAATCATGTGGAAAAAAAATGGAGTAAGTGCGTTCTACCATACAGGTCCTATTTTTGATGTTAAAAAATTCTTGCACAAGCTATTGCCCAGCAAAAAAATAATGCACAACTTAAGGCAAGAAAAAATTCATGGCCCAGAAAATTGCCCAGCCCACCCTAAAAACAATAATGGTCCGTCCCTTATGTCTGTCGTGAAGTGTGTGAAATAAGGCGCATGTACGTTTATATGACTTAAGCTGCGTCATACAGAGGTCGAGAATCGGTTTTTTAAAACCGATCCTCTGGGAGAGGAAACGGCTGTTAAAAAAACTGCCGTTTCCTCTCCCATCATTTTAACAAGTGTCATTCGCAACAGAATGAACAGGTTAATCGGGCTGAGGAATTTCCCATCGCACTGCCTGGAGCTGCATTGGATTCCTCGCGAAAAACGCGCGAGTATGGGTTAGTATCGAAGTACGCGCGCAAAACGCTGTTTCTCAGTATTGGGTAGTACTAAAACTAATTATTTTTTAATGTAGATATAATTTTCTCGTTTTGTCATAAGGTTTTCCTTCATTGTGAATTTTAATAACTTGTTACCCTACGAGGTGAAATGTTTTTGTTTGTTGGCTTGCCTTACATCACGCATCGTGACAATTGGTCACATCTAGTAACTTCTTGCTCTGCTGTTACGAGGTCATTTGTCTCAAGGTATTAACTTTCACCGAAAAAGTCTGATTGATGGCTGGCTGGTTAAATTTCATGACCATTAGCGTTGTTCCTTGTTCTTCAAGATATAAAAGAACCTTAGCTTCTTTTCAAAACGAGTATGTGTCAGTTGTGATTTCAGAAAAGAGCAAACTCGAAATTTCTTCTTCAAAGCTCTGCGCCATGTTGGTCCATGTTCTTTTCGTTTGTCTTCTTGTCGCCGCAACAACAGGTACATAAGTGCGTGGAAGAAACATTTTTTTTTCCAAAATATTTCTGTTTTAACTCTCTACTTAGAATTACACACGTAGCTGATACACTGAAATATATACTCTACCTATACGTTAAGAGTTATCGACGGAGTTACATTGCTTTGCCAAAAAAACAGAGAAACTTCAGTTAGCGCTAACAGTCCGGCTGTGCTGCGTCAAATTTTAATCATTCGTCGAATTTTAGCACAAAACAATCATATGTAGAAAATATAAGATTGTTGGAATGCGTGTTTACTGAGTAAACTTCTAACCAGCAGCAACTTTCCCCTGTTTGTTTTTGTGTATTCCTAGACGCGAACCGTTGTTGTCAATCCCCAGACTCGGGTACGCGGACTGGATCTGGGTGTGTTCGTTTTTACTATGATGGGGACTCTGGACAGTGTGTGCAGTTCGTCTATAAAGGAGCAGCTGGAAATGATAACCGTTTCGAATCGCTGGAACAATGTCTGAACGCTTGTGACGGTGTAGATTGCTCCTAGAGAGTTATTGCCTCTTACAGGTAAGCTGGCATGTTTTATCATCCATTGAAAGTGAAATGGCTTTCACTGACTAACTGAATTTAGGATTTGCTGTCCGTCAACCCTTCCTAACCGTAAATCAATATAAAATTTCTCCCTTTTACCTGCCAAATATTTGTTGTACTTAGCTCGTGAGAATTCGTTTTAATCAAGACTCTTCCTGGTTCGACCTGATTGACCCCAATCTCCTGTCTGCACAATTTACTATTTGTAATAACGTCAAATTTGAAAATTCAGAAACTAGAAATTCAGTTATTGCTTTATTAAAGCTCGAAGTGAGAGCTCCTATTACACGTCAGCGAGGCAGTAGTTCTTCTAATTCCAACACCAATGTTTTTACGTCTGCAGCATCACCGTCCGCGTAGGGTGACGCCAAAAGGGGAACTTCTGCAGGACGATTACTTTACTGTAGAAGTTGAAGGAAGGCGTTAAGAAGCGGGAGGGGTGGGGGGGGGGGGGGGGGGGGGAGAGAAGGGTGTGGAGGTCTTAACGCGCAATTTTTAACCAACGCTATTCTCGCAGTTATGATGTCGCTTTCTCTGTTGCAAAAATATCGACACGTTTGTAAAAGGAAGTTTTGCTTCATGATCGGGTTTATAACAATAGAATACGACTTTTCCTTGCTATACATGAATTTGATATGACCCTTATGTTCCAAAAGGCTTGATTGACCCAGTTCTTGCTTTAAAATTTTCAGATGACGACGAGGATCGGTTAGCGAAGAACTTGTAGATACAAGAAATATACTTTGTTGAAGAAGTTTGAAATATCTGATGGTGGAGTGAAGGGGGAAGACGATTTAAAAATTTAACAACATGTATATAAAATTGAGAGTAATTTATTAATAAATTTCGTAATAACAGAATCAAACAGAAGATGGTTGGTTTTGTTACAGACGCAGACAAAAGAAATGGGTTCTAAATACAGAAGCAACATTCGAGGAAAACAGTCTGACAGTTAAAACTAAAAAGAAATTACCCCGGCCGATATATTTTATTTTCAGTGATAAATATGACCAGAAGCTTAAGCTTGCTTTAAACTCAGTCAACCCTTTTTATCTTGCAAAGGAAAGAAAGCACAAGAAAAAACGCCAAAGTCGAGAATACAAAGAAATATCACAAAGACTGGACTAGACGATTCAAAATCTCATCACCATGGCAACATCGTTTCAAAAAACCCCAAATGTGATGAACAGAAGTCCCATTCCATCCTCGTAATCTTGTACTTCTTCCCCAAAATACTGGATCTATTTTTTTCTGTGGGGTCATATTTTATCCAATCTCTCGCCGTTTGTTTACAGAGTTAAAAATCGTTAATCAACTTAATGGTAAACTGCCAAATTGTCGGACGTTTTAAGTACGTGACAATTTGCTTGTCGACTTCAGCACTCATACTGACAAGTAAAATACACCTTATTCCAAAATGGCCGCCATTTAAGTATTCTTTTGTTTACTTGCAAATTAGCCCTTGTTTCCTCGTTCTTAAACTCGAAATTCAAAAGAATATTTTCCCTTAAACGAGGCAACAAGGGCTCATTTTCAAGTAAACAAAAGAATACTAAAATGGCGGCCATTTTGGAATAAGGTGTATACTACCTTAAAATTTTGACTGGCAGCTGTCAAGTTATTAGCAGTCCCCATCTCCTTGTGTGGATGTCACAATATATTTGCACAACGTTTCTCTCTATTTATCCCCGAAGATAACTTCTCACCCTTCTTTGACGAGGTCAAGTATTGGAGAGAAACTTTGAAAACGCATATTGATAAATTACTTAGTTCTCCGTAATTTATCGGAGAGAAAGAAGCAGGAAGAGAACGATGGACCTTGACGCTAGAGTGCGGTACTTCCGTGTAAGATGTGCAGTGTCAACCTTGTCCCCAGGGCCTCCTCCTCGACGATTTTCTTGACTTCAGTGTGGTGCAATCCGTTTTACTTGCTTGTCACGAAAGTCGTGTTTTTACCGTATGCCATAAGTTGCGTTACTTCCTTGTGACGAAAGTCGTGTTACTTCCGTGTGCTATAAGTTGCATTACTTGCTTGTGACGAAAGTCTACTTCCGTGTGACATAAGTTGCGTTACTTGCTTGTGACAGTACGCCACTTCCTTGTGATATAAGCTGCGCTACTTCCGTGTGAAATAAGTGATATAAGCAGCTATATACTGAGGTCGAACATAGTCTTCCGGACAGATCAGAAGATCAAGAACACTAAACTCTTTGTAAACGTTTCTTGAGGGCTCTGTCTGCAACATGTTGGTCCGTTCATTTGTTCCGTGTTTCTTTATAGCCACTTTGATCACAGCAGGTAAGAGAACGTCTGACTCATCAGACAGTACTCCAATATAACCAGGGTCAATAATCTTCACTTAATAACGGCAGAAGTAGCGCATAGCGAAATTAGCCGAGTCAGTTGCATGTGAATCTGATCTTCGTCCCTTAGCATATATGTAGTTTAAGCAGTTCATTATGGAGGAAAAATATTCAGATAAGCCCAAGCTAAGAGCCATAAAGAAAGCAAACCCGCAAATCAAAAGCGCGCATTTCCCAATGAGTGCTATTTTTAGAAACACGGGCCCACCTGCACGCTGGGTATAAAATTGGTCTAAAACCAGCGAATTTGTTTCTTTCTCTATTTTTAAGGCTCGGCTGGCCGTTGTTGTCTTCCCAATCATCCAGGATTTTGCAGGGCTGATTTTCCACGCTTCTTCTACAACGGAACCTCTCAACGGTGCGAGCAGTTTACCTACGGTGGCTGTCTGGGAAACAGAAACAACTTTTTGACGTGGCAGGAATGTTCGGACGTTTGTCGCGACGTAGAATGCAATTAAAAGAAGTGTCTGGTAAGGCGGCACGTTTCATTGTGTTGATGATCAACATGCCTTATTCAGAAAATTGGCAGATAAACACGCGTAACCTTTTGATTGCAATTATTTATTAGTAAACAGTCGGATCTTCACTTGCTGTTTCTTCTTATGTATTTTTAGGAGAAGAGAATTCTGGTGAACAAGCAGGATGATATTTCTAAAAAATAGAGATTGTCAATATAAATTAACTAAGTGAGATGGAACAACAAAACTATATTGCTCGTATTTAATAAGAATAAATTTTTTTTTGGCAGAAACTGATGTCTGTGTTTTCAGTTGTTCATTACTGGTCAGTTGGCGCGCGCTAAAATATCTCTGCTGTCAATGGGTAATTCTTTCAAAAAATCTTAACTGTCAAATTTAAACACAGCTCATTAGCAAGTTATAACAACTAATCACCCAGAAAAAAAGTAAGTAAACACATAGGAAAATATGCTCATTGATCAAACATAAAGAAGCGCCAGGTTATCTAATGAATTAACACTGCTAGCATGATTTTCAAGAATGGTTTCTCGTCATTATTCCAGTTTCTGACAACGCAAAAACGCTATTCAAAGGCCAAAAAACTCAAATCGGTTGCTACATGACAGGAAATATCCACCAGGCACCGAAAATGTCTTCTCAAGTCCTACTGAAACATCCACGGTATTACATATAGAAGTGACCATTGAATAGGGCGCACCTTTGGAATTACTCCAGGTAAACTGAATGCAAGCTTTGTAAAGTCGACTCAAAATCCTGCGCTTCCTTTATGAAGTCAACAAATAGACTTCTGTAACCCAAGCCCACGCAAGAATTAATTCCAGCTTGATAAATCACTTCCTTGTTGAGGACTAAAACAGATTTATATCTTCAAGTCAATATATGAAAGATCATGTATTTGAACTGCGGAGACATGATTGATCATCGAAGTTATATACACAACTTTTAAAAGCAGCTGTGAAATTAAAATTCGAATCAACAATTTTTTAGAAACGGATTTCACTAGAAAAGTCAATGTTAAAAAGCAACGACGTTTCGACCGCTCGACGGTCATTTTCAAGTTGAAAAGGAAGATTTTCGCATGCGCCCAAATATATACAATCGATTATAAGAATGCTAATGACACACTGACTAAAACTCTACCGTCGAGCGGTCGAAACGTCGTTGCTTTTTAACGTTGACTTTTTTAGTGAAATGTGAAAAAAAGGCCTGAAAAAAAAGGCTTGACAGGGATTCGAACCCGAATTTTTTTCAGGCTTTACTTTCACAGTTACTTAAGTTGTGTATATAACTGCGATGATTAATCATGTCGTCATAGATTTATATCTGCCACTCCAAAAATACGAAGATTTATTGGCTGTTGAATCAAAGAAGCCTATTGTGTAACTGACAGCAAATTTGAATCTCAAAGAACATTGTTGGAAACGTATTTATTCGCTATAGCAATCACGCTCTAGAAACGCTTTGAACAGAGGTCATCTGAGTTTCTGTGCACAATATGTTGGTTCGTACCCTATTTCTCTGGCTTTTAATGGCCGCTGCTACCACAACGGGTAGGCGTACAAATATTCTTTTAATAGTTCTTTTCGCACTACCAGTATTTAATACAAGGGAATAATATTGCAATTAAACTGACAAAAGTTAAATTGAGGCCTTGCACGGCTGTAAAATTGATATTAAAATCTTTTAAGAATCCAAGCTTTCGCCGATCTACGGCATCATCAGGGATAAGAAAAAATATTCCGCGTAAGGCTTATATACACATGAAAAGTAAAAATGTGCGAAAAGCGAAAGAATGTGGGGGGTAAAATGCATGAGATAAATAATAAGGTACAAATATGAATAAAGAACGAATAATATGATCTAATGGGCGAGTGTCAAAGTACAAAGAGTCTCTAGATATGTTAAATAATTATTAGAATAAATAATTCGTTCACCACAGACCAATCAGCTATACCGGAAAAATCAAAGATCAACTTCATTCGTAATGAGCGGAAGCGTATCCAAGATAAATGCTCTACAAAAACTACAGCCACAACGCATCAAAACATGTTTGACGACATCCTCCGTCTTAACGGGTATGCTAAAAGCAATATAGACCAAACGAAGCACTCCCAGAACCATCAGAAAGACCCTCGACCTCTCAGCACAGAAGGGTATTACAAGAACCTGTGTTCATCAATACGTTGGTGCAAATGGCTGGTTGCACCAACGTATTGATGAACACAGGTTCTCCGCAATCGGAAAGCATTTAAAGAACGATCACGGCCTTTATAACATCGACGACCTTGCCAATAATTTTTCCGTCCTAAAGAAATGTAACGGAAAACTGGATTGTTTGATTTACGAAATGCTGTTTATTAGATTTTTATTTTGAAATGTTTATCGAAATTTAATCTCATTTGTACCTAATCCTCGAAAAATCTCTCCTTTTAGTAAAAAAAAGCTTTCTTAGCAAAACTTAGGCTTACTTAGCTTCATGGCAGCTAAAAAACCTGACTAAACGGTTAAAAACAGTATTTTTTGGCGAAAGTTTGGTATTCAAAGGGTTAAAGAGGGGGAGGGTGTTGTATAACAGCACTTGATCTAACACGGAGGGTAGAATTTTAAAACGAAGAGGAGAATCTAAAGTAGGGGGTAACAAGGAAGCCTTGAAAAACAAGGCTTATAATGTTAGCCCTTCTTGTTACACTAAACTATGTAAATAAATTAGTTAACAATATTGTAAATTATGAAAACAATAATTGACGATAGACGGCTGGAGATAGGAATTAAATTGACTTATGTAGGTCAAATAGCTAGAGGAGGAAAAAGCGAGACAGGAACTTGTGCTCGTGGACACGTCGTACGTCATGTGCTTATTAATCAGCTGGAAATTTGCTAATGATAGTATTATGGGGCTATTGGAATGATAAGAAATTTTAAAATCGTGCCAAAATGCCAAGGCATCTGATCAAATAGCAAATTATGCTCAGAACAACATTAAGATCGTTGAAATTTCGATTTCTAGACCCTGCATTTTGGCACGATTTTAAAATTTCTTATCATTCTAATACCCCCATTTCAATATCATCAGTTTTCGGCCATCCTTATCTTACACTACACAGTCTACACAGTAGAAAAACTACTTTAAATCTCTCTGCGACTTTGTCCATAGGCTTGGCAAACCCTTGTTGTCTCCCCGCGGAAAGCGGACTATGCATGGGCGCTATTAAAAAATTCTTTTACGACAAAGTATCGCAAGATTGCGATGAATTTACGTACGGTGGATGCCTGGGAAATCGAAACAACTTTGAAACGAAGGAGCTTTGTTTACAAGTTTGTGGCAACGTACAATGCTAAACGGTTCCTGGTAAGTGACCTTCATTACATTTTTACAATCTAATCAGTGCAGTTAGGTCATTGTAAGTAATTACATTATCTTCCTCGCTGTATTATCGACTTTTATAGACAATAGTTACCTTTATTATATAGACAAGAAAGTTTCACTGGAAATACACCACTCGTAAAATTCATAAAAGCTACATCCGGGACTCGAGTAGTGTATTTTTCATATCCTCACTCACTGTTGTGCAAACAGCCAGTTAATTTATATAATATAAAGAAAATAACACGGTGGCTTGAAGATATGAATTTTATATCCTTGTGTTAAAAACAATACTTTACCAACGAGCGCAGCGACTGAGTAAAATAATGTTATTTGAAAACACGAGAAAATAAAATTCATATCTTCGCGCCACCGTATAATATCCTTTATATAATAATCAAATCAGTGTGCGCACTCTGATTGGTCAATCAGCTATGGTTTATTGTGCCAGTAAACTCACGGAAATTTCGCGCGTCTTCTGAATTATTATATAAAAGCAACAGACCACAAGTTTCTATGGTTTATAGGCTAATAAACCACTTGGGATGTTGGAAGAACACAAAAAGAATTCGTAAATCACTCACCTGCGGCACGTGATTTACGAATTCCGAATGCCCTCGGTCATTTTTGTACGGACCTCGCTGCGCTCGTTCCGCTCGCCCGGTTAGTACTCTATCTTATAGTCCAACTCATAAATAACCTGCGAACAGGCTCCCGGTGAGCCCGATCCCGATCCCCCACCCCGATCGCTTTGCTCCCCGAATTCTTCTGTTTCGCGCTCGCCGAAATTTTTTCCGTCCTCGCCGGTAGCCTGTTCGCAGGCTAATTCATATTAGTATCACCCAACTAGTGGACTAATGCAAATCCTGCATTTTAATTGGCTACGCCACTAGAGGACTATTAGCAATAGTCCTCGAGTAGCGAAATTGGCGCAATCGAGCGTGACGCTTTCTTTCGGTTTATTCCCAAATAAGTATTTCTTCAACTTGCATTTGCNTAACTTTATTATTGCCTTTTCTGTCCGACTAGTTGGGTGATACTAAAACAATTAGACCCTTCGCCCTTAAGGGCCACGGGTCAATAGCCCATTCGGCTACGCCTCATGGGCTATTGACCCGTAGCCCTTGCGGGCTACGGGTCTAATTGTTAAAAAGACACTGTAAATGCGTGCAAATGGTTCAGTTTCTCGAATTCAATTTCGCCCTTGCCAATCAGAGACCGCTGTTATTAATTTTACTTGTATATAGTTCTTATTCTTTTGTTGATATCTTTCGTGTTTGTAAAATTTTAAATTTTGTGTATAGTAGTTCACCTTACCTTATAACTTCAACACTTGAAATAACATTGTTTTCAAAATCCCCTATTAATTGTCTTGTTTGTGTTTTTCAGGAACGCCACAAAAATTAGAGAACATAGCTTGATTGACGACTCAATTTCTAGATATTACTGACACGCTTAAAACGGAAATTTCAGTTTTATCGACAATTTAATTCAGAAAAACTGTGTTAAGAAGAACTTCTAGTATGCGGAAAACTTGTCGGTTTAGGAGGTGTCCTCGTAAAAAGCGTCAATAAATGTAGTGTTTGCTTGTATGTGACTGGAACCATTGCTAAGTGTTCGCTCATAAGTAATGTGAGTTAAACAAAGGTTCAACTTATAAAAGGGGCAAATTACTGGGCCTACAGGAAAACAGATCAAACTGATTCATTTCCTGCGCGTCTTCAGCCACCATTAAGCTTACTTAATACGAAACATAAGCGGCCAAGCCCTCGCAATTCCTCACCATATCGACTTTTCCAAATAACTTTCTCCCCAAGGTAATCATGCGTCCAGTTGTTCAGAGAGCTTATAATGCTATCCAGCGTGTAAAAAAAGAACTATAAAGATTATATAGTTTCCTTTGTTTGAAATTATCCTCTTCGCTTTGAACCCTAACCAACGAGTCAAGCAAAACGCTCTAACTTGTCATGCCATAACCTAAAAGCTGTGCTTTGACCTGCGACTTTTCCCGCGCATTTGCCACCGGCTGCCGCGAGCAGCGCAGCCGCATGATATCCCGCGCTTGCTCAGTAGTACCGCTGGGTGGCCGCTGGGTACCGGTGCCGCTTCCCAGCAGTTGTTTTCCCACGCCTGTTGCCGGTTCCGTTTTCACATGTTGTTTCGAGCTCTTTTTTTCCGCTGTTGCGGTTGACCGTGGTTTGCACAGGAATCAAATTAGTTAAGTTCTCATTCCACAAAAGTCACTAAATTAGTCCTCCACAATACAGTCACCACGATTGACCTGCTTCCGTATTGTCAAATGGCTCTATAAACAGCCACTGAGGTGTATTTTAACTTTCCACGTTTATCCTTCAGAGCTGTCTTCGACCACAAGTTCACAAATTCGTCGAAAAATAGATCTCTGACCTTGTTTGAGTCTTACAACCGACAACTGCCTTTTGCTAAGCTTCTGTTTTTCTGTGCTGTCATAGCGGAACATGTTATCGTCTCCATAACGTTGCTTTACACACAACTCTGCAACACTAATCATGACAATTGATTAAAATCAGATGTAAGATATCAATTTCCATTTATCCTAAATTATGACAGTGTTCTGTCATCAGGAATTAATTGTTAGAGAGAATACATGGCATGGGTGCATGGAGATATGAAATTTTCACAACAATTCTACATTCCCTGGTCAAACACTATCATGAAAAATAAAAGCCAGGTAGACCTTGGGAAAAAAAATGTGACCCATTTGTAAATTCCCCTAGATTTCATAACACGAAGGAACCCAACGACGGCCCAGTGAAAATGAAATTTATGACATTTATGCTTCCACCAGGTCACAAGTTTGATAGACAACTTACAGGAAATTAAGATAGATGCTGTAAAACTTAAAAAACACTCAGGCAAAAAAGGGAGTGTCCTACCTTTTCAGTGTTCGTCTCCATTCTATTGGCCACTGGGACATTGTGTCTGTTTTAAGGTCAGGAAGAGAATAAACAAAAGTATGAGTTGATATCCAATAAACGTCAGTTCACAAGAGCCACCAATGACAAAAACACAACCACTTATGCAAACTCATTCTTAGGGCCTCATCTCTTCCTTTGAGGGAGAGAGATGAACATGGAAACGAGGTTGGCACTGTTGTCAAACTAAAAACAGAAATCTTATCTAGATTTAACTGAAAGGGTTGTCAATTACCATACGTTATGGGTTGTTCAGATTCCTCTTGGTCATCAACATTATCATCGTCATCATCTGGAGGTTCATAGCCGTCTTCATCATCATCATCTTCATCTTCATCATTGTCGTCACGGTCGTCATCGTAGTCAACATCATTGTCTTCATCATCATCATCATCATCATCATCATCACCATCATTTATGTTACAATTTTGATCATCTCCATCATCAATGTCGCTATTTTCACACTCATCATCAGACACTTTGTCATTCCCGGCATTTTCTACATCACAGGTACCACCACCTGTCTTGGTCAAATCTTGTTTTGAAGTTTTGGACATATCCTTACTTGTATCTGCATTAGTATCTAAGTCGGTCCTTGACAGTTTTTGAGATTTAGTTTTGCTTTCATTCTGTTTAGAAACAATACTGTTGGTTTTTAAGGTGTCATTTAAATAAGGTAGGACTCCATCACCGTGAGTTGTACTTGGTGAATTCATTTCTAAAGAGACGGTAAGGTTGCAGTCTTCAGATTTAATACGAGGACCTGAGTCTAATGTAAAATCGCACTGAATGTTTTTCCTCTTCTTTTGTTTCCTGTCTGAGTCCTTGTCAGCAGTTTGCCTTTTCCTCTTAGTGTTCTTGTTTTCTGCCTTATAAATAAGTTCCAAAATTCTCCAGCTTGTGTCCTTTTTAATTTCTTCATCTGGTTGATCTAACACATGCCCAATATCATCAAATTCTTCACTTCTCTTTTGCTGAATTTGCTCTTCCAATAGTTGTTTGAACTGTCCTTCTGACAAATGAAGGATCTTTAAACAAATTTAAAAAATTGGGATATTTTTAATTAAAACAACTACAACATGTATGAATGGCCATCGGAGAGCAAAAAACTGATGGTGGCCAACTGTTTGCAGCTGATTAACTGACTGATCAACTGACCAACCAACCCACTAATTGATAAATACAATGTAGATTGATTGATTGAATGACGGAATGACTGGTTGACGGACTGATTGACTGACTACTTTTGTCTAGTGTTCAAATTGACTCATTATTATTATATTATGAATTGAGTATTTGATTAATAAACTGGTAGGTGCTGAATAAATGAATTTATCATCAAAACAAATTATTGACAGCTTGATTGATTGTGGAATTGATTGTGGGATTGATTGACTGACGGACTGACTGATTGACTGACCAACTAACTGACTGGTTGATTCACTGACCGACTGACTGACCAACTGACCAACTGTCTGACTTACCAACTGACTGAAGCAGTATAAAACAAAGCATTCATAGCACTTACCCTTAAGGTTGCATACAAATCTGGACCAAAGTGAGAACATCCATCTTGACCAAAGGGAAACACATCATCTTCAGAAGCGACACCCTACAAAGAAACAGGCCACCCTTCATTATATAAGAAGAAGATACTAACCATAGATAAATTAGGTAAGGTAGCATATGATGATAAGATCCAGGATGATAACTAAATCTAAAACTTATTTACAGCAATTCCAAACTGTCTTAGTGAGGCTTAAAGACCAAGGGCATGATAGTGCTATCATGGGCTGGGTAAGGGTGACATGCCTTGTAGGGGACAAAAATGTTCTTTTGCATCTCACCTGCCTTTGGCAAATTGGTTAAATAAAATAAATAAATTACGCATAATAAAAACAATGCTCTCACCATTTCCTCCATAAACTCAAACTTAGCATTTAACATTCCCCTTGCTTGATGAGCTTGGCTTACTTTCATCACCTCATTAAATGCACTGATGGGTATGTCTACCTGCCAATAAAACAGAATTTCCTGTGATTAGACCTATCAAGGTGACTGTATAACTGTTTTATCAAAAAGGCAACATGTAATGTTCAGATTGTCTCACTTTACACAAGTTACAGTAATGATTTGATTTAGTGTCCTTCTTCCCAATAAGCACCCTCTTTAAATCACAGCTCCCCTTTCAGGGCTGTTTTTTATACATGCACCTATTCTAATAAGTGCCCCCTTCTTCAAGAACAAACTAAACCTAAACTTTACTTTGTGCAACATTTTAATTTCTGGAAGACTTAAGTATCTTACCATGTCATATGAATTTGGTAATTCATCTTCAACAAATCCATAAGTTTGAAGTAAGTGGCAGTTTGCAAGCTTGCCATAGGTATTGAAAATTTCCTGTCCCTAAAACATAGAATGGAAATGACCAAGAATTTGACTGTACTCTGGGCCACAACTGTAGCTTGGAGAGATTGAAATTAGGAAGTCCAATACTCTTATGCTCATTGCAGTTCTACTACAGTTGAACCAGACTAACACAGTCACATGTAGAATAGAACTGCTGTTTCTGGCAAATCTAGGCAAGCTAGCACACCAAGAGAGCTAAGTCTCAGCACAGGCACTCTTGGTGTGATGAGCAACCTTTGCCAAGTACAATATGTAGATGCCACAGAGTTTCTGTTTCTTAATATCCAATCTTGCAAGTATTCTGGACAGCCAACTGTGAGGCCAGCATGGTAGAGCAATAAGGATATATCAGGATGATTACAGGGAATGAAACTGGAAACATAACAATGAAGCAAGGCTGATTACTATGTAGAAAGCTTCAGGGGACAACGACATGACAGAGTCCAAACGGAAAGCCAAGAATTGTAAACATGGACATCTGTTTCAACCTGGTTGGGTTTCGTCAAAACGGTGTAGCAGCAAAAAGTAGAACAACAGGCTTGTGGACCGACTGTCTACTAAATGCACAAGGTAATGACCTCAGATGAAACTCAAATCCAAATGTTTGCGGACTGGTCAATGTCACATGCAAAATGGTGACCCCTAACAATATGCAAAATCCAGAATATCATGTCGTTATTGCGATAAGGAGATTGCGGACAGTCAAAAACTGTCCGGCAGAAAATACATGGCCATTGAAACTTTGTTAATAATGAACAGCATATCAGATCTAAACGGACCTATGGGCTCACTAAGTTTAAACTTAGGGCATGATTTTGCCCTTACCTGGTGTTTGGTCACCCGACTAAACACCTACATGAACCAATGTGGTTCCATAGGTATGTCTTTATCAGATTAAACCCTGGGTTTAGCACATGCCACAAGCATCATCTCAAAACAGATGCAGACACCTTTCTTGAAAACAGCTGTTGTAAAATTGCACTCAGACCCATGATCTTTACCTTATGAATATCTTGTGTTGCCACCATTGTCAAAGATTCTGCACCAAACTCTAAGTGAGCATTATGGTTACTGATATGATTTAGAATGTCAGCCATTGGAACCATTGCAGGAACTGAATCATTACTCTTGACTTCAGCAATGTCGTCGTCATCCTCCTCCTCCTCCTCCTCCTCCTCATCATCATCATCATCATCATCATATTTGCTTGAGTCTTGCTCTGTGAAGCTGTAAGCCATAACAAATGCTGCCATATGTTTATAAAGAGTAACTGTGTGGAGGGATTCACTGCAAAGAATAATAAATTAAATTATCTATGAGGTTAAAATTTTCCATGTTCAGAGTAAAAATATTAAAATCTCCTCGCTTGCCTATTTATTAGTACATTATTGAAAGTTGAAATGCAAATCCCAACTCTGATTTTGTACCTGAAAAGCTCTGGGTGTTTCTTAATAAATGGCAAGACAATAACATTGTACTCTTCTTCAATGTGTTGTACATCACTTTCAACATCCTCCTCTATTCCAGTTCCTTGCAATTCTTTGTGTCTCTCCTCCAATGCCCAGAACATGGGCTGATCCAGCACAGTGACATCAGGTACAAGGTTCAGATATGGCTTCCAGTGAGATGATGGATTAGTGTACTCATACATCAATGTCAGAAGAAGAGGAGCCCAGCCAGATCTGGGTAAAATTAATTCATTTAGCTTATTGTCTAGTGTTCAAACTGACTCATTATTATTATATTAAAAATTGAGTATTTGATTAATAAACTGGTAGGTGCTGAATAAATGAATTTATCATCATAATAAATTATTGACAGCTTGATTGATTGTGGGACTGACCGACTGACCAACCTACTGACTGGCTGATCAATTGACTGATGGATTGATTGATCCAGGGATGGCAGAAGGGAAGGGGTCATGCTACAGTCCTACCATGTTTTTGCTTAGGGTTGATTTTTTAAGGGTTCCAGATGATATGGATAATGGCAGGCAAATCCATGATAAATGACAGAACAGTGACCCTTAATGCTTGTTTGTCTTGACCAGATTTTTCAGCCCTGCCACTTTAAAATGGTCTCTGTGGTCCCTGCGATCGATCGATCAACAAACAGTTGCTGAAATAACAAGGAGTAATGCAACTTCTCTAGAATGAATGTCTGGAAACTATCCCATCAGAGGGGTATCTGCAGATTTTCACATGTTCCTTAAACAATTCAATGGTAGCTATCTTTACTTGATATAGACATAGTTTATAGAGGGGACTGGTTATGAAGCCTGCCAAACATCAAAGGAGCAAATGAAGAGGCAAGATTTATGTTGGAAGGTCCATGACCATGCACAATCTTTTGTTTTGCGTTCATACACTCTGCATGAATTACGTAACCAAAACATTTCTATTGGTTAGTTCCTCAGTATGGAGTAAACAACTATTGTGTTTTACGCACGATCAGGGCCAAAAAAACCGAACAAAAACATACAACAAAGAACTTTGTCGGGTTTTATAACCATTCCCCTCTATTAACTATGATGTAGAGTCTTGTCCCAAAAATCATTTCCCAGACCTTCAAATTTACAGTCCAGAGTATTAACCATTTAAGCCCATTTCATCTAGTAACATAAATCTACAGTAGACACCAATAGTACTCAACAAGCACAGCATTTTACCCTCTTTCTGAATCAAACTGATTATCATTTGCTAAATTTTCAAGGATCCCTGAAATGGATGAAGTCTTGGGTTGCAACACAAGCGATCGTGGAATTTCAAACAAGCACTCCCCTTCCTCTATGTCTTCCACAGCTATCATGCCATAACGATGACATGATCCTTGCAGCCCAACTTTTACCTGAAAACAAGCAGCAATTTAGCTTCCTTGACATGTCCATTTGCCAGCATAACAAAATGTTGGACACCACATATGTAGCTGACACAGTACTTCCTGTTGTAAAAACGTGAGAATTCTTCAACAAATGATTGTTGCCTCAACAAACCTTTTGGCTCAGTATTAAGCCATTTTGTTCGCACCACGACAGAAATTCCGTCAGGATTTTATCTGACTGCTCTATCTGCACGTCCGCCATATTGAAAACATCGGGCACGTGCGAACCTGAAAGCCTGGATCGAGTCTAAATAAAACCCTCACCAGAGTGGGTATGGGAATTAATGTTTTGATTAAATAGAATATTTGGGTCCAGGTACAACCTGAAACATTTTAGATACAATTATTTATTATCGAAAACGTTTTTATCTATATGATTAAATACACAGAAAAATTTCCTCAACTCTCCCATCCTTTAGGCCAGCTATCCCGATATAAAATTTTTCCTGAGACTACCCGACAGCGGAATGGATTCGTCGTTCCTCAACCCAACAATCCAACATGGCGGAAAAATCAACTCGCAAGTAGCATGTCACTTCTTGGTCTTGTTCCCGATTATGGAAGTGATTCTAGCAGTTCTTCTGAATCTGATGACGAAGAAACTAGAGTAGAAGGATGTTCCACAAATTCTGGTGGCAATAAAAATACTGGCAATGAGCCGATGGAACCTCTGATGCCTCTCCCATTACCAACATTGGATCTCAAGACAGATTCTGTTTCCAACACGAAGGAACTGAACCAACGGACATACCAGACATCTTCGGTCTTCTTTAACCCATTTCTTGCTGAAGAGCAGAAGAAGTTATCTGTTCTCGAGAAACACGTGCAACTTTCAGAGGGCAAGTCGGAGGAAGACAAACACAAGTCTAAAAAGATTTGTTTCAAGTTTCAAAAAGGACGATGCAGGCTGGGTGATAGATGTAAGTTTTCTCATGATCTGGTGGTTACAGGGACTCCGAGTTCTGAACCTGAAAAGCCGAGAGAGCCTAGCTTAGTGCCAAGTGTTTCTAATTCCGGGACAAGATACGAACCAGATGAAGAAGAGGAGGCCTGGGAGCAGAAAAAGAAGAAACGAAAGCCAGGGGTGAATGACTCTCTCGTTCCACCGAAGCGGGCAATGGCTGCTTACGAGAAACAGCGCCTTAATGACAAGCCTTGGTCACAGTCGTAGTATTTTTATTTTGTAGGATATAATTTATTGTGTTCTGTAGCAGAAGCAAAGACAGGAGGAGGGGAAATTTTTGGTCCCCCTTGGCAAAAGTCCCACCCCCCTCTTTTGCAACTGGTTTTCTCCAAAGAACCCTATTGATACAAGAACAGGGTATCGATAAACTATTTTGAGAACAGTTGGACTAATGGCAATGTTTTGCCCTTCATGTATGCACCACTTTGCGTCTAAAAGAAGTGATAATGTTGATTATGATTGTGATCCTTTAGGAATTCTTTATCAGAATCAGTAACCTTAAGTGGTGGACAAGATATTTAGCGAATGCATAAGGATCTACCCGTAGGTGATAAAGAAATTGAAAAAATTATATTGCACAAAGTTTTGAGTGCATTTCTGCAGTTGGTTTTAATAGACCATTTTACAATTGTCTGCTCAGTGACCTAGCCTTTGTATGGCAGCGAGGCTAGAGTTGACCTTGTTTTGATACAAACCTCACTGCTTTTGTCATGTAAATGCACCTAGTTAGCATCAGAACAACTTGTTTTACACAACAAAAGCAGTGAGGTCTGTATCAAAACGAGGTCAACTCTACCCTCGCTGCCATACAAAGGCCAGGTCACTGAGCAGACAACTGTAAAATGGTCTATTGGGTCCAGGGAAATTGCACCATTCTCTGAAAGTGACTTTCAAGCATTTTGAAAAAACTTAACGGAGATAAGTTCAATTTCCATCATAAGCTGTTACTGAAATGTAAATCTGGAGTATGTGTGCAGTGTTTAATCAGGCTTGAATATTTGACAAGGCCAGTTAAATACAAGTTGCAATGAAGATTGTTGAGTGACAATTTATTGCTCCAAAGGCTAATGAAAGTGAATACACATAAATCTACATAACTATATGGTGTATGGTACGGTTTTTTGTCCTGTTTTGGCTGGAACCTGTCAACGAAAAATGATGATTCAATTTGAAATGGAGAAGAGTTCAAATTTATGATGTTCCATCAGTGTATACAGTTGTATGCTTTGGTTTATATAGAGAGACTAATGCACGCAAATGCTTGATGTCGGATTTAACACTTAATGGCTTTAGTTAAACAATTTTGTAAGTTACATGTGCCTGCGTGTAGCCAAAAAATCGTCGTCCGTGATACGATTCCGTCTCCTTTTGTGAAAAGGCTGGCTACATCTTCATAGAGGCTGTTTCGTTATGCAAATTTCCTTATAAATAATTATTATTCTCACTCTCGTGCATTGTAGGAATTACAAACAATACTTGTATACAAATAACCAGCCTGCGGGGGCGCTCACTTTTGGATCATTCGGGTATCGTACAGCTCTCGCGTGTGGCCCACGTAAGCCTCCTCGCACGTTAATAAATCAAAGGCCTTGGAAGATACTCGCCAAGGCCTGTGCTTCCTGAACCACAGCGGGGCGTTGCACGGACTCGATTTTCTCATCAATAATAGTGATATCATTACTATTATTATCAATGGAAAGCTTGTCCTGTGCTGATTCTCGCTTCACTCTTCGTGTTGGCAGCTGGAGGAGATCTTGGATGGATACACCAACTTTCTGTTGCTCTGCTTTAGGTAATTCAAGTCCTCTATGCCAGACAGGTTTTCTTCGGACGTCCACGATGACAATCACTTCCTCGAATTCATCATATTCCTCTTCCTCATCATCTTCATCATCTTCATCATCATCTTCAAAATCCTGTAGCAAAGGAACCGAGTTGTCTCGTTTGGCGATTTCTGGGCGAATCGTGCTCTCGTATTGCACCTTCCTCGGGTCTGGTGAAACCAGTTTAGGGACATAACAGTTAGAATATTTCAACACACTATTGATGTCTAAGACGTCTGGGTTCCGACGCCTTGTTTCGGGTGATGACCGCTCTTCCATCCACTCTGGTGTTACAAATGCACGTTTTTCTCTCTGGACAGCTAGCACAGGAATCGAATTGTCTCGTTTGGCGACTTCTGGATGAATCGTACTTTCGTATTGTACTTTCATTGGGTCTGGCGCATTCCTTCTAGAGACATAACCATTAGGGTATTTCAAAAGAATGTTGATGTCCAAATCCTCAGGATTTCGACGTTTTGTTTCTGGCGATGGCCGCTCTTCCATCCACTCTGGGGTCACAAATTCAGGTTTCTCTTTCTTAACAGGTAATACAGGAACAGCGCTGTCTCGCTTGGCGACTTCTGGACGAATCGTGCTCTCATATTGCACTCTCCTCAGATCTGGTGCATTCCTCTTAGGAACGTTACCACTGGGATATTTCAACAGAATGTTGATGTCCAAGACTTCAGGATTTCGACGCTTCGTTTCTAGCGATGGCCGTTCCTCCATCCAGTCTGGTGTCATAAATGGAGGTTTCTCTTTCTTAACAACTACCACCGAGGATTCCCCGCCGCGATGTCCGTTGCCGCCTCTGATCGTTTTACTAAACACTGATTGGTGGTTAAACGAGCTGTAGTTGATACCGTCGCGGGTACCGCTGTGCCATTGCCTAGATTCCATCATGGAGCTGGCATGATCTTGCGGACAAAACATTGTGATCTCGTATAATCCAAAAGGTGGTCCTTTCAGTTCCATCTTAGCCTCGCTCTTCTTTCGAACAGAAGTTGTTTTAGTTGAAGTTTCTTTTATGATATTTATCTCTATTTGGGTTCTCTCGTTTTTATATCGTTTCAGGTACGCCATATTAAACCTTGCTGTAGTTTTTTTTAGTCTGTTGTTGTCCTCGTGATTGTTTGCGTGCAAGACTCTTCTGTGTTTGTTTTTACTGTTTTGTTCCCATGTTTACGTTCGCTGTGTTCTGTAGTTATGTTTCCTGCCCGTTCACAGATCTGAAGTTACTCATCCGGCTACTTTGACCACTTTAGTTCAGCTTCACGTTTGCACAATGCAACAAGTTGAGGGCACGCAAAAAACTTCTGCAATTAGATGAAATAACACAAATGGAATATAATTAACCACTGTGAGTTATGGATAAAACTGCCAAGGAAAATCCAAACTGTTTTAGCAAAGAAATGAACTGTTTGTTTTTAACAGTGGCAACTTACTATTCGGCGATGTCTTTGCTTTGGTCAGCTCGGTGTTTCAATAGTTCTGTCTTGATGAGGCGTTACACTCAGCTCAAAAATTATGCATCCCGGATAGCGCACATGGAAGCTATGGCGTTTTAAAATGCGCCTAGGGATTTGTGACTTAATCCCTTGAGCTGATAATTTATTATTGGTAGGAAAGACAATTTAAAAAATTTGTTCTAAAGCGCGGACTAAAAGCAAAGAATGACTTTCAAAAGAGTAAAATATGTTGCCCTGGGAAAGATCGGTTCCGGCCATTTTGTATGCAACGTGCTGTACAAACTAGAATCAATTTCGCTTTTTCGATGAAATTAAGATTTGACTTAAAAATAGCATTAAAGATGACATGGTCTGTAAAAAGGTGGCAAAATTGCATGCATTTTAAGATATGTCAAAAGGTGCAAGGCTCTTTGAAAGTCCATTCAGTCATCATGTTTAAGGCCCTATATTGAGAGAATTACTTAAAGTTTTCCACTGTATAGCTTGCGAAAATCTGACAACAAGGGTCGTTTTCCTGAAACATTTTAAATTAACATCCCCTCATTTTGTGCGCTCTTCAAATACAAACCTGCAGAATGTTTCACTGAGAATAATATTTTTTAACTTTTACAAATATGGACTTGTTCAGATCAGGGCTCACTAAATAAATTCCCTTAAAATTGCTCCAAGTCTACCTGATGAGCGCTAAGAGCCACCTTCATCTTCAATTCCTAACGGTGATCAACAAATTATTTCCCCTTACAACATCATAACACCGCCAAGCACACAGTTGTTGAGAATATAGAAAATTATCAACTGGTGTAGTAAGCGAGCACAAGGCCTAAGGAATTCTTACTGGGGCTAGACTGCTCGCTCAATCGGGCTCTCGATCTTCGGTCAAAATAGAGCTATCGCTGCTAAAGTCATTGTTCACATTTTCTTCATTTACAAACAAAGACACCATGCTAGATACTCCAAACATTTAAAGAACTTGTCAAACTTAGTATGTGGTGAAATGGTTGACTCTTTGGAGGTAATATTCAAGGAGAAATTAGCCTTCAAAAACTACAAAATTTCTGGGTGGCAACGACGCTAACGAGCTCAAACGTTCTTTATGAAATGTGTGTTTTTAAACCCGCGTTGCACAAAAAGTACTCAATAAATCGCCAGATCGGGCTCAAATTCATTGGGACAGCTAATCGTGTTATGACCTGTCAATGTTCAGAACCGATCTTTTTGTTTTAGCTCAATTAAAAACTGAATCGCTTAATATGCTAATGACACAAATTTTGTAAACAAAGATTTCCCTTTTGAGAGTAGGGTGTGAACATCATCAGAGAGTGCGGGTTTAAAACGATTTTTAGAATACTGACTTGCTGTTCAACCAAATTTTCTGCAATGGGCATTAAAGGAATGGCAAACAGTAAGATTGAAATTTTAAAAACTTTTAAATCTGTATTATAATTTAAAGTAAATTAAGATTTATTTCACACTATTTGTATTGCGGAAACAGCACGCAAATTAGATAAGACTTCATTTCATTGCAAATGGCTCAGTGTTTTATCAGGGTTGAAAATTCGACAACGAACAGGCCAGTAAAATACGTGCTGCATTGCAGATTACCCAGCACCTTTAAAAGTCATGATTTTTAGGAGCGAAAGCTAGCAAAACGTAAGTGCATTGAAATCTTCTCACTCTGTGGAAGTGTAATTATTTTTCTCCTTTTCTCGTGGGAACGTTTTCAAGGAGGATAACGATTGTACCTAAGGGTGTAAAAAAATGGAAAAAGTAAAAAAAAAAACAAGAGTTCGTGATGTTGCATTGATATATCCACAAATGTGTCTTGGTTTGCATAATTGCCTACAAGCCAACAACTTATCCGATTACAACATCGCAGCGATGAAACGATAAACAATTATAGCAATACGGGTGTGTAAACACTTTTCAGAAGTTTTGTTTGACAAAACAAAAAATTTTAAAAATCTAACAGCATGTACGTGTTTGATAACTCCAATGAAAAGGCTACATTCAGTCACAAAAGCTGTCACATTAAGTCATCAAGTCACGCAGATATAATTCCACGGTGAAAACGCCATTCTCGTGCACTTAACTTCGAAATTAAAAATAACACTACTTGTTTCCAATCCTATCTTTCAAATCACAGGTTTCCCAAAATACCCTCCAAGTCCATTGCTTCATAATTCATGGGAGGGCGTTGCACAGACTCTACTTTCTCACCAGTAAAAAGATTATCAGGGGCTGGTTGTCGCTTCACTCTTCGTGTTGGCAGCTGGAGGAGATTGTGGATGGGTACACCAAATTTTGGTCGCTCTGGTTTGGGTTTCGCCAGACCCTTTCTCCAAAGAGGTTTTCTTTGGACATCCACGACAACAATCACTTCTTCGAATTCGTCGTCGTCGTCGTCAAAATCCTCATCACGTAGCACAGGGGCCGAGTTGTCTCGTTTGGCGACTTCGGGGCGAATCGTGCTCTCGTATTGCACTCTCCTCGGGTCTGGTGCACTTCTCTTAGGAACGTAACCACTGGGATATTTCAACAGAATGTTGATGTCCAAGACGTCTGGGTTTCGACGCTTTGTTTTGGGCGATGGCCGCTCTTCCATCCACTCTGGCGTCACAAATGCAGGTTTCTCTTTCTGAACAACTATCACCGAGGATTCGTCGTCGCGATCAGCAGACATCGTAGGGTGTCCCACTGCCCTCCAGCCCTCAGTCATCGCTTTGCCCCCTCCAATCATCTCCCGTACGAGTGATGGCTGGTCAAACGAGCTGTAGTTGATGCTGCGGTTGTTACCGCTATACCACTGCCTTGGTTCCGTCATGGAGGCATGATCTTGTCGGGAAAACGCTTGCATGTCATGTGACCCATGGCTCGAACCTTCCATTTCCATTCTAACCTCTCGGTGTTCGGTTCGCTGACTTCGAATAGAAGTTGTTTTAGTTGTGGTGGACGTCATGGTATTTGGCAAATTGCGTCTTCTTTGACTTTCAAATCTGTCTAGGTACGACATGTTGTAGTTGTCTTGACTTGTTGTTGCCTTTGTGGTTAATTTTGCGCACGACAGAGTGCGGACCTCAACTGGTGAATAAATGCCTTGTGTGTTTAGTTTTACTCTTTGACCCTCCTTGATTATGTTGGCGTTGTTTTATAACAACTTTTCAGGCTTGAACAAGTTTAGGTAAATTGCTTCGTCGTTCAGATAGATCTGGTGTTTCTTTTTGCAGTTTTCTTTCTGTTCGTCGCGTATACAATGCAACGACGACGGCGCACCCCTAAAAATGTCTGAAACTAAATAAAATAACACAAACTGAGTAGGTAATTAACAATTTTAAACTGTGCATATAAACTACATATCCAGAGTATTTAAATAAACAACTGTTAGTCTCTCAGCGGTTTCAATAATCACGTCGACTTACTTGTGATTGATATGTTGGCCTAAATTTCAAGAGTTCAGTGTTTGTCTCAAACTTTTCGACTTTGGGCGTTAGACCCCCTTTCAGAATTATGCGTGAAGGTCGATTGTGTTCTAACCACAATGGATGGAAGTGTGTACCTTGGGAATTGTGACTTAATCCCTTAAACACTCACGAGTCGGTCTAGCATTGGTAGGAAAGTCAATTTAAATAGCACGAGACAATCTTGGTATTAATAGAGAGACAAAAAGCAAACAATAGCCCGATGCCTGGAATAAAATGTGATCGTGGGAAAGAGAGGATTTGGACATTTTGTATTCAAAATATTCACAAACTAACACGAACCTCATCAGGTTTTTCAATGAAAAAAAAAAGAGAATATTTCCAATTTTGAATTTTCAGTTTCACCATTAATTTGTACTTTTATTTCCTTAGCCCTAGATATAGAGCATATTCAATTTATATTTAACTCCATGGTAAGTCTTTTATAGCATTTTAGCATATCATACGGACATTTGCGCTAGATGAATTTTAATTAGTGTTATCGTTAATATCTCTTCAAAATACTTCTTATGCATAAATAATTTTACATTAAAGCGTGTTTACTAGGTTATCAAACTTAACAATGGCATATAAGCTTGCTCTAAGGGAAACGTAGTCGAGGCGAACCCAAGATGACCTGACAAAGAGCAATGGAACAAGAACTGGTGGAACGTGGAACGGACGAAATAGTAAGACGGTATGCAGAAAACCTGCACCAGTGGAGAACCCTTAAGGAAGCCCCATGTGCCATCGGGCACACTGGATCCTGAAGAAGACGGCGACGAAGACGACGTCTTCACGCATACAAATGACTTTTTCATACTGTGCATTT